AGTAGTTTTGACTATAGACTTGTGTGTCTCAGTTGAGCTGGGGTGCTCAAAATGTTGTAAGGCTAAACTCTGATTTTCCATCTTTCATGTCTCCTCTATTCTTCAAAGCGGCTGAAAAGCAGTTAGAGGGTTTCCTGAGATTTCTTTCAGTGTGTATGTTCTGAAGTATCGCACTAGGAGATGGCAAAGATCATGTCAAGGCAGGAAGAAAGTACATCTAGTCTTGCTGTGATGCCTGACATACCATTAACTATGGGGTCAAGGCTGTCCTAACCAATGTGGAGGTCAAGGACAATGGCATTGTGAGAGCTGCAGAAGTCTATGAGCATCTCTAAAGTACCCATTCCTCTGCGATCCTGGGCAGAAATTCATCAGAGGTGGTCTTTAATGTCCATTACATTGTAGTTTTTAAAGTGTGTACTTTACCTACCATCTCTGCAGTGATTGAAGTGATGCTATAATCTGTAGTGCTATTAAAAAAATTCAAGGAGTTAAGCTAACAATATGATTTTCAGTCCAAGTGATGGAGGGAAATCTACATAAGCCGTCTGCAAAGAATGGGTACTCCATTACATTTCACTATATTGTCATGAAAGCTGTACAGAAACCTCTGCTCAGAAAGGGCTGGCTAGATCTTCTTCAGCAGTACCGTCTAGAACTCTATATGCAGCCATCATTTTGCTAAGATGGGTGCTGCCAGACCTGATAAGAACAACGGAGAAGGAAAAAGAAATGTTACAGCTACTAAGATTCACTGTAGTCACCATTGTCTACACTAGGTAAGGCAAAGGAAATTCTGAATTTTTTAATGCAAAAAAGAAAAAAACAAAAAGAGAGAATATATATATATATATATATATATATATAAAAGGAAAGATTAGACTCTGAGCTCTGATAAATTCTTTTAGCATTTTGTATCTGTGTTGGGCACATCAGCTCATTGCTAACCCTGTCTTGAGCGTTTCATGGCAAAGAGTGTTTCAGGATGGGCCAAGAGCAGCGAGAACTGCAGTGCTCTCCAGCTTTATCTGCAAGAGTAGCAGGCACACAGGAATGGGCCTCAGCCCCTGTTCTCAAAAAGGTTCACTTATCTCTAAGCTGTCTGGAAGCTCTGGGTTAACACAGAGGCAATACTCCTAAGTGACACAGGGTCTTCTTGACTTGGTATACCCTTCCAGCTAGCATTACCTAAAAGGGAGCTCTCACTTTCTATCCTCTTTATTGAACAAAATTTCTGTTTATAGTCACATTTTCTTTATGGCTCATGCTGCATGCTGTCTGACACTTGCACTGAAGATGGGTTTTGCACACGTGCCAAATAGTTTGTTACTTGGCAAGAGTTCATTGGCAAGAGAATTTGCTTCTAAGCATAGTAATAGGCAAGTTTGGCTAATAGGCTCTTTGTCTGAAAGCCTTCTGCATATTCAGAGCTGCTCCCTTCTGCATATTCAGAGCTGCTCATTTGTCACGCTGGCCTGACCTAGGCAACAAATACTAAATAAGAGCCATAAATATGCCCTGTTCTTTCCAGAATGCCAACTGAAGTAAGCATTAGCTGTTTTGTGATGCACTTGTCATCTGTTCCTCTTTAGCTCCACAAGCATTGTCCAATAATGCTTATTTCTAGAATAGTCTTCCTAACCATCACTGAATTTCTGCTTTTGGAAGTGCCTCATTGTGTTCTCTGTGTTCTTGTGGACTACATCTAATATTAAAGCAGACAGCTCTGATGCTGCATAGCTTTGGGATGGTGAAGTTCATACCCCAGTATTTGTGAAGCTGACAGCCCAAGGTCTGTCCTGGTTTCACAGTCAATGGAAGGGAATGTTCCCTTTTCCTTGTGCTCCATGCGTGGGGTGGCAGGCATCTGGCACGTCCTGCCAGTGTGTTACCAGATCTACCAGCAGCTTGTGCTCACTGATCACTATAAAGCCAAGAACATCATTGGGCATTTTAAGATGGCAAGTGTCCTTCGTGTTGAGACTGCCTGATTAATGATATTAAGATGACTTCATGTATTTTTTGCAACTAGCTTTTTATATGTGAGTTACAGCATTTCTTGTCCTGCAACTTCTTTCTTATTTTCAATATTTAACAATAGTTATTCAGAGGTTGAGAGTCACTTTTTATTTTGAAGTACTTACATATATTACTTAATTCTGCCTAGAGCTAGAGTGTATAATAAGCCAATTAATTGGCAGAATAGAAATCAATAGCATACATATGAAAGACTTTTCCTTTTTTAATTAGACTATAGAGACTACTTTATAAACAGAAGTAGTCAAACAGCATGCTGCAGAAACAGGCAAAAGCCTATTCTGAATGGATTAGGTCAGAGATCAAACTTTCCTATTGTTTGCTGTGAATCCCCTAAAAATAGAAAGCCCAAAGCTAACAGTGCAGCACAGTTGATGGTTTCCCAAGTAACAAAATCAGCAAAAGTGAATGTTACAGCACCATCTAGTGCTTCTTGTTCCAGCAATACAGTAAATTGTTTTTCTGCTTAATTCGGGTATGTAGGTGGAGAAGAGGGAATGCATTGGATGCTTCTACATCCTGACAACTTATTTTCTGTCAGCCTGTGCTGAGATAGGAGGGAGCTGAGGGATGGAAAAGAGCTTTGCCATTTTACGTGGCCGGAGATTTTGCCAGTACAGCTGCTGTGAGTTCCTCCTATTTATCCTCTTAACATTCAGTCGGTTTTTCCTCCTGAGAACAGCTGAGATGAGGACACAGGAGTCCACGTGCTGAAAAAAGGGAGAGAAGCACCGCAATTAATTCTCAAAGTGACCAAAGTGAGTATTTAGTGGGAGCAGAGATTTTTGGTAGAGCGTATGTTCTCACTCGTGTGTTGTAAATGACTGACAAGTGGGAGGTTGGCATTTGTCTGCAAACACCTTTTGCTGATAACTGCACTCACGTTGAATGCGTTTACCTCAGGTCACCAGCACCCAAACCTTTCCTTCCATCCTGGCTATGACCCTCAGCAATATCAAAAGAAATTCCAATTTTTGCTATATTACAGTTATTATAATGTCCCTTACATTGCTGTCCTTTTTTTTTTTTTTCCTTCTTCTTTCCCCTGTGTTTTTTTTCTTCTAGAAAAGTGATTGGTGTCCTCTGACTCCAAAGAGCCATGAGGTTAATCAGCAGCAGTTTTGCACATAGCCACTATTGCCAGCCATTGATTGCTAGGTACAAACGAAACAATATGAACTTGGGCAGTAGACCCTACAGGCACTGGTAGCATGGCACATAAAAAGTGTGTCTAATCGATGTTCTTACAAACAGCCCTCCTATAAAAAAATGAAAATTTATGGCAGCTGGCTGCGTGCCTCTTGGATAAACAGCTGCTAAAAAGAAAAAAAAAAGCCCTTCATCATACCAAATTGCTCTGACTTCATCTAAATTACAATAATTTGGGCTACTCACAGATAGATTGACACCGACCAGATTAACGTACTGTGGGATGTACGTACAGTTGCCTTGATCAAATCTAATACAATAACTTGAGATTGACACAGCTGCTCTTCAGTCTGCAACCTACTGCTTTCTGTCTTTAAGCAGACCCTGTGCTGATACCAATGGAAGAACATGGCCTCTGGTGCTTCCAGTCCAGTTTGGAAACATGGCACTTGCTGAAGTGTGAGATTAATGAGCCACATTCTTCAAACTAGAGATTGTCTTTTGTGATAATAGAGCCAAACATTCATCTGTTAAATGCACTTTCTCAGACCGTTAGGTTAAAAAAATAAAATTAATCACACCTCAGAGTGTTTCAATAAAATAAACATCCCAATAGTAACTTGTTACCCAACAGAAATCACATATCTTAAGGAAAGAATTCACTCTGTTTTCACTAGGCCTAGAAAAGCTGGTGGATACTAATATAGGTAATTCATAGTCACAGACTAAATTAGAGTTTATGTCCAATCTGCAGTATTGGATTTAGGATTAAGGCAGTAGCTAGAACTGTACATTCTGCACACAAATATAGCTCTTAGCAGTGTTAACATCACAAAGACTTGATTTCATCCAAAATAAGAATTCCTGGGTTTTGGTCCTAGAATTTCCAGCAGTTGTCATTTTAATTTTTGTTAAATATATTTAATATTTCACAAAACAAAACAAAACAAAACACCTCATTGTCATCTGAATTGAGAAACTCGGCAGCCATTGAAAAAAAAAAGTTCTATCCTTCATCACTCTGGAAACGTGCTTAAGAGCGTGACTCAGACGTATCCTTTGCAGTTGTATGAAAAGAAAAACCCCAACAACAGAAATCCAGCTGTATTAGCATGCTGAAAGAAGTGAAAATTATATCTTGTCACCGTTTTTTTCTAATCAGATGTTAGGCTTCGTAGAAGAAATGGGTTTTCTTAATATTTGTTTGCTGGACTGCGATCCAGCACGTCTGCAGAAGTATTTGTTGGGTTTTATCGTGGCACGGGTGGCAGCTACAAAACGCTGGAGCGGTGTGTGTCGCACTGAGCTGATGCAGGTAATGCAACCTCTGAAGAACTGAGTGCTCGTTTTAGGAACGCTTGGTGTCTCATCAGGGCATCTGTAACACGTTCCTTTTGGCAAACGTGATGCTGAGTCTTGTTTGTATTAATGCTGCATGGATAAGGTTGAAATGCCCCCCGTGATGCTGAGGAGCCCAGAGCCGGGTCTAACAGCCCCAGCAGTTACTGGGGCCTCTGTGCTATTTATCTCTAAAATATGTTTCTCCTTGAACGCTTTATGAAAAATAAGCTGCGTTTACTTTCTTCCCGGCTAGGGGAGGACACTGCTTTAGTGGAATATAAGAGGCATTTCGTGAGAAAAGCAGGAATTTCTCGCCCGGGGCTGATCTGCAGGGGCTGTTTGGGGACCATCGCACGGCTTCGGCCAGCTGCGAGGCAGAGCTGCGCTGCTCCGGCCCGGCTCCGAACACGGCCCGGCTCCGAGCACGGCCCGGTCCAGCGCCGCCAGGGGCCGCTCCACAGCGCCTCGGCTCCCGGCCCGGCGGCTCCTCCTCTCGCCACCCCTCCCCTTTCCCAGGCTCCTCTCCAGGTAAACAGCGATGGCCGCCGAGGAAGGAGGTGGCGGACACCGTAACATGGGGAACCACCTGCAGCTGGTGCCTGGTAACGGGGGAGGAGAGGGGGGAGGCAGGGCTGGGGACGGCTGCGAGGGGCGGGGGAGGAGCCGGGGGGACGGCGGGCCGCTGGTGTCGAATGCGGCAGCGGGCCTGGAGCCGCCCTGCCCGCCGGTACCTCCCGGCCCGGGCCGTGTGGGCCCGCCTGCCTGCCCCGGGCTGCGGGTGGCTGCGGGCTGTCAGCGCAGGCCTCGCCTATCTCCGGCTGCCTCGTGTTGGCAGCGGGGCTGTGCGGGGGCTGTCACTGCCGAGCAGCGATCTGTGAACTGAGGGCGCAATTCTGTAGTGGGTGAAGACGCTGAGGAGCTGTGCAGCTGGTCAGGGGAAAGGTGCCGAGAAGATGTAGGTCCTACCAAAGTTAGCGAATGCGGATAATCCGCTTGCTAGATTTGGGCCGCTCTGAAACCAGATGGAATTGGAAGGAGTTGTTTGCTGATCTGGAAAGGCTCAGCGCCAGCTCGGTGCTCTGCAGTGCCAGTAGGGAGCAGGGAAAAGCAGGAGGTGCAGGAGAGCAGTGCTGGATTGCACGGTGCCCTTTGCAGAGCAGTTTGCACAGCAGCCTGCTTCGTCTGCCCACGGCAGAATCCTCATGAAGGTGCCTGCTGCATATTAAGGTCCATTTTTAAAAAGATTATTTAGAATGTGGTGCCTCCAAACTGACATGAGCTCATGTTTTTGGCTCCGGAAGCAACTCCTGCTAAACTGGAAAAAAATATATATTATTTCAGAAGAAGCATGTACCTAGTGGCGAGTCAGTCTTGCCAGTAACCACTGTAATTTGCTGTGGAGGGAAATAGTAGGAGAATGCTTATTTCAAACAATGTGAAAACACCAGCCTTAGTATTTCCTGCCCTGTTTCTGTTTGTTAAATGAAGTTTGTATTTCCTCGGTTCTGCACAAAGATGTCAGCAGTGGGTCAGGATGAGCATCCAAGAGTGCCCAGCCTGCACCGAGGGAAGTGAGAGCGTGCTCATACTCAAGCTCTCGCAAATTGAGAAATTAAAAAATCAACTAAAACACAATTAAGAGCGATGAGGATACAGTTCCGTTTGTCTTCCGTCTCTCAGTCCTGTAGAGTGACCAAGAGGAGTGTGAGGATGGTGTTTTTTCCACGTTCTCGTGGTGCTGCTGCTGCAGTGAAATGAGTCATCATTCCTCCCAGCCTTCCAGATTGCCTCTGCCAGCACACAGCCGTTAGGGTGTGATTTTGGCAAGGCATGCAAAAGTTTGCGGGGTGCAGGGTGCAGTCACTCTCAGATGAACGACTGTTAATTCCTATTGTGTTCAGAAAAGCAAATGAAACTGCCTTTCTGTCACAAGCTATTAAAAAGTGCTAATGATTCATGCAACTTAATGAGTGCAAGTAAACCAGAATGTGGTTTCTGATGGAGGTGGCTTCCCTTCCCCCCAGCCCACAGTGCTGCTCCAGAACCACCCAAAAACTTCTTCTTGCTCTGCCCCTGCAAAAGGCTAGAGATTGATGGCCCTCTTCTATGTTTTAAACTTTTTGCAACCACTGATGTTTAGGATTCCTGACTGCATATCACAGAATAAGTAAATTATGCAGAAATTAATATTTTTTTATAATAATGAAGGAAGTGGTGTCTTATTGCTTTAAGTTAATTAATGAAATAGCAAAGAGAGTCTGTAACCTGTTTTGTGCTGGATCATTTCTGTTGTGCTGGATCATTTCTGATTGAGATGAATACAACGCAGGATGGATTTGAAACATCAGTGGGTTGTGCTGTTCCTCCTACAAAGTATGCAGTGCAGTAAATCATGCAGGTTTTTGGGTTTTCTTTAGTGAGTTAAAGCAGAAACATAAACAGCGCTGTTGGGATTGTCCACTGTCAGCAGCTACTGATGTAAGAATCCTGCAGAAGTTGCAAGGTTTATAACATCTGTTTCAGATATAGGGTGGTATATAATTATTGTAGGTGTTTGAAGTGTAAGGAAATAGGGTGGAGTAATGCAGTACAATCACCCGTGTGCAGTAATCACATTGTATTCTTTTGGGTGGATGTACAGGCCTACATTGTAATTCACAGCATGGACAGTGAAACCAGCATTTTAGACATGCCTCGTTTGTTATCTTCAGTGTGATTTTTTTATATTTACTTCTAAACATACATATGGATTTTATACAGATAAACACAAAATAAAACATACAAGCAACTTAGTTGTGTTCTTGCTTGAAAGCAATTTTGGGATTGATTCCTAGGCTAGAAATGACATGAAAATAGTAATCCTTAACTACGAGTTTGTACTTGAAATTCTCTCCAGAGTCGTAACATTGCTTTCCTTTATAGTTTGGGCCTTTCTGGGTGTGCAGTGCTGGCTTTTGTGATCGTGTTTGGTATACACAGCAGAGAGGTTGACAGCAGTGAAATTGTCTAGGAACATCAGCAAGGGTATTTGCCTGAGTACAAAGCTTCAGGTTGCTTGTAGCTCAGTTGCTTTATGTATTTAGTTGTATTGTTCAGTTTTGTACCACGTCAAGTGGTGCATTCAGCCTCCTACAGGAAATTAAGTTGGTTGGCATCCTTGTGTTGCAGACAGAAAGCATTCAGAACTGAAGTAGAAAACAACTTCTGAAGTGAAAATCTGAACTGGCAGAATTTGTGCGTTATCAGCTGCCCAAAAAACTTGTTCCTGAGCTGTTCAGAAATACATCACCTGCTTCTGAGTCTTTCTACAGTGCAATGATTTTGCTATAATAACAAGAAAATTATTTACCAATAGCAAAACTGCTTCCCAGTGGAAGACAATGGCCCGGGGATATTGAAGGCATTTCTGTGATTCTCTGATTTTTCTCAGTATTTTGATCTGTGCTGGTTGATGTGTACACAGCATTCTGTGTGTGCTTGTTAGCAGAGAGCGAGGAAGAGGATGACAACGAGATGGAAGTTGAAGACCAAGATGGTAAAGAAGCCGAAAAGCCAAACATGATTAATTTTGACACCAGTTTGCCAACGTCACACGTGGTATGTCTTCCTCTAGATATCTTCCATTAACTGTGTTTCAGAGCAGCTTTGATTGTTTTTACATGACTCTGTCATAAAAACCTTGACTCTTATTTCATTTTATCACGGATGTTACCGTGACTTATTGTGTTCAGTATTTAGGTTCTGATATGGAAGAGTTTCACGGGAGAACACTGCACGATGATGACAGCTGTCAGGTGATTCCAGTGTTGCCCCACGTGATGGTGATGTTGATTCCTGGACAGACGTTACCTCTTCAGCTTTTTCACCCCCAAGAGGTTAGCATGGTGCGGAATTTAATTCAGAAAGACAGAACATTTGCTGTTCTTGCATACAGGTAAAATACATGGGTGAGTTTACTGATGGTACGCAGCATGTGTTTTTAGCACAATTTCTTTGGATAGTAAATCAAATGCAGTTCTGTGGTGAAAACTAAGTTGTGGTTTGAAATAGTTAGATAAAAATATTCTTCCAGCACACTGTGAAAAGTAGCATCTGTGACAGTAGATCTGTGACAGCATCACATTTAATTAAGAAAAGCAGAAAGTGTCCTTGTTTGAGCACGCTCCTGATTTTGCTGTTTGAATGCATTGCCTCTGTTTGACTTACAGCAGTCTTGGTCTGAAATGTGAAAATTTGATTGTTGTTCTGAACCTTTATTGCCAGGGGGGTGTATTTGCTTGCTTTGTGTATAAGCAAGCACAGATGAAGGTTTGACAGTAGAGGCATGTGAGATGGTAGAGAAGTGGAAAAGGCTTATGTGTCCCAAAAGAAGAGGGAGCATTTCTTCCTCTTACTCGCCATTTACTGTGGTTTAATTATGTAGGAAGTGGAGTAGTTATTTTTAGGAAGTCAATCTGAAGAAGTTTGGTACGTTCAGAGTCTGCCTTTCAAGTTGCTGAGCACTGTATTCCTAGATTCTTACCTCTACCTCCTTAAAATAAAGCCAAATAGCAGAAAAAATCACACCGACGTTAGAATTAGCTTTTAAAATGGGGAAAAAAAGTTTGCAGCAGTTCGAAGGCATTTCACCACATTTAGCTTTTTGATTAAAGCTGAGTTGTAAGATTTTACAGTCAGTGCAGGTGGATTAACGTGAGGTGTCTGAACTGTCCTATTTGAAGGGTGCTTAACTTTTAAAATTCTGTTGCTTTTAGTAACGTACGTGAAAGGGAAGCACATTTTGGAACAACAGCAGAAATATATGCCTACAGAGAAGAGCAGGAATATGGAATTGAAACAGTCAAAGTAAAAGCAATAGGAAGACAGAGATTCAAGGTGCTTGAAATACGAACCCAGTCAGACGGGTAAGAAAATAATGTGTTTGATCTTGCATACTGCAAATCTTGTTTGACCAAGAGCATTTATTTGTCACTGCTGCTGCATGTGGCCTTTCAGTCACACAGTTGGCTCATTAGTGTTTTTATACTTAATCAGCAGGTTCTGCAGCTGTGTGTTTCAGTTGTAGCAACTAAGATTCTCTAAGTAACGTCAGCCTGTAGGTTGATTTAACACGTGTGCAAAAGTATCTGTCAGAATTATTTTGGTTCTGAAAATTAAGCTGGAAATACCTCTGGCATCCATGTTTCAAACCAAATGTGAAATGAGAGGAGGCTGTCCTCTATGGAGTGCGTGCCTTGTGTTGTCTTGTGGAAAGCCTCCCTGATACCAGCTTCCATAGCTCTGAAAGCCTGTAACTTGCATTTTCTGAAGTCCTCTCTGGAGGTCTGCACAGGACATGTTCCACTGAACTTCATGTGCAGTTGCAGCTCTGAACTGCTGCAGGCACCGGTCTGACAATACAGCTAATAACCAAATGCCTGCCCTTTTTCTGTTCTGAGTGATCTTTAACTACTGAGCTTGAACAACATACAGAAGCATCCAGCTGCACGATTCAGATATGGAGAGGACAGTAACTGATCCCAAGAGGGGTGGTTTTCTTGGGGATGACTGGAGGCTGGTAATAATAACGGAGGGATAAGTCACTTCTCTTGCTCCTTAAAATAATGATATGCATCTTATATTTCAGCATCTCTGGTGCATCATACAGTTAAAAATGAAATTCCTTCCTTCCAGGCATTATTCTTGATAGCTGTGTAACTGTTATCAGACAGAGTGGAATAGGTGACCTGGTTGATGGTAGGATATTAAAGGACGATCGGAGCTTATATCCTATTTCTGCTGATTTTGAACTCTAGCTTAGCACATAAGCTTTTGTGGTTTCAAACTGCATTTCAGCTAAATGAGAGTTTGGTATGTAACAGCTGACTGTTAGTTTATTACCAAAGGTAACTCGAGGGGACAAAGATCTGAAAATCCACTGTGAGATGGTAGAATATTGTGTCTGCCACAGTCCAGTAGCTAACCTGTGCTCTAAAACATATGGGCATCTTGTTGTATCTCATGGAAAAAGAAGTTAACTGGGAAAGGAAAAATAAACAGCGAGTAACTTTTGCTGAAAACATTCTGTAGGCCAGTGCAAAAACTATTTGGGAAGCAGCTAATTCTGGCTTTCAAAGGCAAATTAAGAATAGACAGAGGAATCTAGAATTCGTTGCTTCTACTTTGATTTTAGGTGTACTGAATTTCAGTGTACACCAGAGTCCAGTCAGCACAATGGCTTAACAAGTTAGCCAAGGCTGTGAGTTCCTGTTTTAGAGCAGCATGTGCTTGGTTTGTTAATAGGCTGCATGTTTCCTAAGGTAACTTGAATTATGTTAGCACAACGTAAACTCTGATGTAACAGATTCCTGCTTAAATTCTGTAGTACCGTGTGTCGGTAAGCACTAAAACCCAATTTTGATGCTCTTGTGTTTGTGTGTATCTCCATGGTTTCTTTCTTTTCTCAGAATCCAACAGGCTAAAGTACAAATCCTTCCTGAGCGAGTGCTGCCTTCAGCAATGGCAGCAGTGCAGCTGCAGTCTCTCAGCCGACGTCATGTATTTCCTTCTTCAAAACCCACAGCGTGGCAGGATCGAGCTTTCCGTCAGTGGTGGCAGAAGTATCAGAAGGTTGGAAGCAAATTGTTTGTTTCTCATTACTGGTTTTCGTGGTATTGAATTCCATCTGTTTGTCTTCAGAGGCGGAGGCACAGCTGGGATGCTGGATAGCAAGCTCCTGTTTTTTGTGTTGTTCTTTTTTTTTTAATAACAGACTGTGATTATTTATCAGCTAACCACAGTAGGGAAATGCATGCTGTATATGAGTTTCCTTTGTTTATTAATTTATACATGAACGCGTCAGAGATGATGCTAATTGCTAAAGCTTATAGATGATGAAGAAAAATTTTGGTAGAAAAAATAGCAATTGTTTTTTGTTTGTAGGTAGATCAGGAAAACATCCTGACTTTAAGTAGCCTGACAGTTTTCTTCATCAGTTCTGTTGTGAGAAAACCTCCTCTGGAAGTTCTGACTAGCCCTCTTGTTCGTAACACGTTGGTTTTCCTCTTTAAAAATGTGTTTTTGAATTTGTCAGCTTAAGATACTTGAAATTGCTCATTAATCTCTTTCTTTCATTTTATGTATTTATTCATTTGAACGAATTGATACAAAGTGCTTTCATCGCCTTACATAGGATCAGTAATTGCTGTGTTGCTGAGACATCAATCACTGATGGAGAAACAAGATGCTTTACCTAATTGCACTTACATTTTTGAACCATCTAGATTTCAGATATTCTTTTGAAAGGCAATAATTCCTTATTACTAAGCAGTAAAAGTGCTTACAATGCTGAGACAGATTTTCTGAGAAAGTCCAGGTCTTGTCTGTCTTGCACAAAAGTTGTGCATTTAGAGCTTCAGAAGCCTCATCAAATATTGGCAGTGATGGTGATGATTTGTTGTGTCCTTAAATAACCAGATGTCTGGTTTACACAAACAAATAATAGACACACATTGGTAAGATCTGCTAATATTAAACAAAAATTGTTTCTGATTTGGATTTCAGAGGAAGTTTTACTGTGCCAGTCTGACGTCTTGGCCTCCCTGGCTCTACTCTCTGTATGATGCTGTAAGTATTACCAAGCAATATATATTTTGTTTTTTGTATCTGTTTACTGGATGATAGTTTTATTTTGTTGTCTCATAAGTGTATTTTAAGAAGGGTACAGCTGGTAGTTTACTGGGAAGAGTTGTAAAGGCTTCCCCTCTGTATGGTTGGTCCCTGGTGCTATGAGTGTGCATCTGCCATGCATGACTGAGGTTCAGGTTCCTGCTGTGTTGTCTTGGAGCAGAAAACTCAATCTTCTGTCCCACGTGCTCCACGTGAGTGTCCTAACCAGCACAGCACTTGATAGTCTCAGGTGGGTCTTTCCTGTTGGAGTCAGTTTACTTTTTAAAAAGCTTGTATTTTTCTTCATATGCTTAGGTGGAAATGTGTATTTAATACATAAAGGCTCAGAGATGGAGGAGGCTAATTCTGCTTAGCCCAGATCTGTACATGTCTAGAGTTTAAATAGTTATCTGCTTACCTCAGATGAGATTCAGAACTATTGTGGGTTGTTTTTTGCCCATTTCCCATCTTGCTTTGTTCTTAGCTTCAGACATGGAGGTATGAAGTGTCTGTAGTTAGCATTTAAGACTTACAGGAATTGTATCGTGTCCACTAGGGAAAATAGCTTCGTGTACATTTTGCTTCTTTTTCCTAAGAGAGCAGAAATACCTATGTCCTTATATTAGGCTTTTTTTCCTAACGAAAGGAAACCTTGATGGAAAGAGTCAAGAGGCAGCTACACGAATGGGATGAAAATCTTAAAGACGAGTCTCTTCCAACAAACCCGATAGGTATGATCTTCAGCTTATGAACTGAAAGTAGAATTAGGAAAAAGAAATCCTAACACCTAAGAGTGTGAGAATTACTTTCTACTGACAGTCCATTTCTGACTTCTGAAGTTTCACTTCAGTTGAGGAAATACTGGTAGCTGACGTTGTCATTAGCTTTGACAAGAACTCGTAAAGAAATGAATGTCCTCCAGTTGTTCTAAAACACTTTTAGTAAAAGAAATAAAACTCACTTGTGCTCCTTATGGAGGGAATGTGATTTAAATGATTCATAAGAAAACAAGAGCCAAAAGCATATGAGATTGTTAAAGTTTTCTGCAGGTGTCTGGATGTATAGAGATGAGCTCTGAAAGTCCATTATGAAGCTACATTTTAGCTCTCGATCTGTAACTGAGTAGAACAGGCAGGTTTATTTCTTTCTGAAATTCTAACAGGCCTGCTACTTTCTCATTTCTAGATTTTTCTTACAGAGTTGCTGCTTGCCTGCCAATTGATGATGCCTTACGCATACAGTTGCTTAAAATAGGTAGTGCTATTCAGCGACTCCGGTGTGAATTAGATATTATGAACAAAGTGAGTACTGTTATACCTGTTATTTACTTTAAAATTCTTCTTCTCACCACCATAAAAAAAAAAGCAACTTACCATCTCCTGTAACAAATAATACTTCTGGGCAGTGAGCCTGGGAGTTTTTATTTTCCTTTGCCTTGAGAAGTTGGCTCAAGGAAGAAACTGGTGTTCATTCTAGACTTATTTTGCAGCAAGAACCCTATTTGTTTTTGTTAGAAATCATATTTCAACACCGTGCTGCAGTGCCTTCTCCAAGAGATGGTGCTGTAAGTCCAGTGTTGCTGTTCCCAAACTTCTGAACATCAGGACCCCATATTGCCAGCACAGTGTACTGCAGTGAAGCAGTGTTGTGCTGTGAAGACTTCTTTTCAAAGATGTTTTAAAACAAGTGATCTTGTTTTCTTGCCATTCCATGGCCATATAATGCATATAACATAGGCCACGTATTTCATTTTTACATGGTACGTCGCTTAATAATGTAACTCTTGTTTTATAATGCAAGTATTGGACCTCATGTTGAATCCATGTTTCAGTATCTCCAATAGCAGTTCAGATTGCTACTCGTGTTCCAAAGAGCAAACACTGAAAGAGTCACCAATATAGAGAACATTGGTCGGGTGGTTGGTAGTGAGAATGTTCACTGTTGAATTTCTGGCTAGAGAGACCAAGTTTTGGTGACACATTCATCAAAACGCACCTCCTGAAACATGGTAACAAAGCCTTCTACTGAGCTGATTAAAATGGTTCTTTTCTTGGCAGCATTAGTGATAAATCGTTTGGTTCTGCTTTATAAATATCGTAGGAGATAAATTACCCTGTCATCATAATGAAGAAAAAGGTCAGTGCAGCATAGGTATTTATCTTGATTAATCTGAGACAATTGATCTACAGTGTTCTCAAATTTTAGAAAAACTTTAATGGTTACATTTGTATTCATTCTACCTTTTCTGTGTTATATCTCAGGTAACAAAGTTGGTTTTTTTTGTTTCTAAAGTAGCTTTTAAGGATCGTAGCAATTTGACTCATTGCTTACTCAGGTTTTTTAAGATTAAAAAAAGTGTATAGATTTTTAAAAATTAATCTTAATGATTACCATGAGTAAGTAAAATGCATGCAAATTGTTATCCTTTGATATAAAGAGTAAAACATAAGTGAGTGCTGCCAAAGGAGTCAGTACAAAGTTTGTTCTGAGAGAACAGAAGAGAAATGTTGTTATTTGCCTCTGTGCTGCCAAGTATCTGGAAATGAATGAAGTTATCCTCTTTTTTCTTGTTTCTCTTCTTCAAGTGTACATCTCTCTGTTGTAAGCAATGCCAAGATACAGAAATAACAACCAAGAATGAAATATTCAGGTGAGTTTATAACTCCTAATCAATTAAAGCACGTGATAGAGACTCAGGTTTTAAGGGAAACATGATGATAACCCCCTTAAACGGGATGGATCCCATAACAACGTCCTGTCAGCTGCTCTCTAATAACTCATTTCCTTTAACAAACAGCTGGGCAAGGTGCAGCTGAACATGAGAATATTGTAATCCTTACTTGGGCAATGAATGTTTGAACACCTTTCCTCAAACTCTGACAGAATTTTTAACTGTGTTTTACAGTTTATCCTTATGCGGACCCATGGCAGCGTATGTGAATCCTCATGGTTACATCCATGAAACCCTTACTGTATATAAAGCCTGCAATTTGAATCTCAGTGGACGACCATCAACAGAACACAGCTGGTTTCCTGGGTAATACTGTTCAGCTATTAGTAACAGTCATAAATTTGGTTGCAAATTTTCCTATTCCACTATGGCAAACACAGAGCATAACTGCAGTTACTCTACTGAGGGTTTGTTGTTGTTGTTTTTTTTTAGACCTGAACTGAATGAATGTTACAGTATTTTATACTGACTCTGTCTTAATCTGATTACCACTGAAGCACTGATTACCACTGAATCTTTAAATGGTCTTGCTATCTGGGAAAATGGCCAAATTAATTGTCAAGATGTAAAAATCTGCCTAATATAATAGTCTTGTGCCAAAATGCCATTTTTTGCTTTAGATAAACACGCTTCAGGCATACATTCAAACCTTTAAATACTTGACCTCTTAACAAGAGCAGAAATGTGAAATTGTGTTTGAATTACAGTTTCACAAAACCATTCTTTATAGCTGTGTGGTTTTTTTTTTTACCAAATCACTTATCTTTGTGGTCCCTTCTGTGACATACTATCAGAAATCATTCTTCTATCCTGAATGCTTTAAGAACTTTCTCTCCTTGAAGGTTTTGGTTTGTTTGGTTTTTTTTTGACAGGTACGCCTGGACTATAGCGCAGTGCAGAATCTGTGGGAGCCATATGGGCTGGAAGTTCACAGCTACCAAAAAGGATATGTCACCACAGAAATTCTGGGGATTGACACGGTCTGCTCTCCTGCCTCGAATTCCAGAAGCAGAGGACGAGTTGGGCCACGACAGATCTCCATTACTCTGCCTGTAATCCAGTACCCTGCTTTGGAGATGAACAGGGAGTACTCTGTCTCTTAGATACATCCGCTTAGTTCTGCTTTTGATGCTCACTTAAAAACCAACAAGAACTCGCAGCCCAGAACGCTTTGCCTTCAGTGTGCAGCACGTTACGTTGTTTCAGACACGCTGAGGACTGAAGGTTGATTCTTAAGAATGACAGCTGTGGAGAGAAGGTGGCACGAGATGCCAGGAAATCAGTTCATTTGGACAGACTTGACTCTGAACTTTCTACTTCCTCTGAACTTTCATTTCAGGAAATGTTTGCTGCTATCAGCCTGCAGTGAAAGAAATAGAGTATAATTATGCAACGTATGATGTTAGATACTAGTATCTCATTGCAGGATATTTCCCTTACTTAAAATGTGTTTACGATGACGATTCCTGTTTCTAACTATGTGGAATACTTGCAGTTTTAGTCTCGTGATGTTCATGAAATAATAACCATCAAAGAGAGTACAAGGCTGAAGGATTCTGTGTTGGTGATGTCAGTAGCAGTGGTGTAAATGGCAGAGCTGACTGCTGGGTGCAGCTAGAACAAGCATGCCAGAAAATTCCCTTTGAAACGAGCTTATATAAAGTATTTGTTCCTTAGAAGTTCTCTGGTGTATTGAGCATTTCTGACTTGTCTTTTAAATCTTAAATTATTTATACAGAATACACTGATCAGTTCCAGGAGATGAAACACACATTGTCATTTACCGTGGTTTATTTTACTTTTGAATGTAATTCTTGTATTTTTCAAAATAATTTCAGTGGGAGATCAGCTTACAGGAATGCATGTCTAGGATCCCATGAAGTACTCTCCAATCTACCTAACTGGAGATTTTTCTCTAATATGTATTTTGAGAAGAGATTCAGCTAATCTTTTTTTTCCTTCAGCTTTAGTATCATAAGGTAAAACTCTATATTATCACCTTACCTTGAAGAAACAAACTAACAGTGTTTTTCTTGCCCCGCTCTTTTTCAGTTTGTTTCCTGAAATTCTGTCTGTGCTACAGAAATGGACGCTAAAAGAGGGCAGCTTTTGCTACTGCTTGGTTGTTTTTTTTCCCTCAGAACAAATGCAGAATCTGAAGACGGCAAGATTTCATCAGTTTGTGAGTGTACATACACACCTTTTTTTTTTCTTGAAGCTATTGCATTCACTGTTTCTTCTGTGTACATTTTCAAGAACTTGCGTTGTTAAATACTGTGAGAATACTGCTTAAGGTTGAAGATGTAACCCAGTAATTGTTCTTTCCCAGTCGCATCAGACATGTAGCATGGACAGATTACTGCATTGGGAGGCCAAGGTCAGGCCTCTGCAAGGCAAGTGTGATCTGATCTCGTCTAAGTTGTACTTGTGACAGCAGAGCTTAGGAAAAATCCAGATGGGAAGAGATGCCAGATGCTGAAAGGCTGTTAGGATATTATGCTACGTATGTAGAAACTAATGGATGTGTAACTCAGGTTTCGTTCTTTGAAGCCTTCTACCTCTGTGCTTCTGTAATAACTTTGGTTTTCTCCATAGACATCTTTAATGCCATCTTCAGTTGTCTGTGCAGTACTCTGATTTGCCAGTGAACTGTGAAAAGCAATAATTCTTTGAATAGAATACTGAACAAATAGAGGATGAATGCGCTCATTTTCTTATAGAAACCATTCATTGTGTTTATGTAATAAGCTTTCAGAAGACTAAAATAAGGAGTAGTATGTGAGACTGAAATCTCTGCACCTAGATAACCACTAGAATCACACTTAGCTTCCCCCTCACTCCCTGCATACACACAGAGCCACCCGTGGCTTAGCTGTAGGCTTGGATTGCTTTTTTCCCTCTGAGATACTCAGGTATCTCTGCTGCCATTTGCTTTCAGTAAGTGAGGCTTTCAGGATGATCATTTCCTCAGCTCTCCCTGGACTTCACAAGGTGTTTTGGGTTTTGGCTGAGATTAAAAATGGCATTATATTCACAGTGCTTAAATACAAAATGGGCATATTTTTGGTATTGTGTGTGTGTATATATATATATACATATATATACAGTCAAGTGTAGCTAATATTACCAAGTGAGACAACTCACAAGTAAATTAGCACTAATTTTATCTTAGCGTTGATGATTTTTCATCAGCCCAACCTTCTGTGAATTGTTTCCCATTTGTAAGCCTATGACTGCTGGCTGAAAACAAGCATAATTCAGCTTGCTGTAAAACTGGGGGATCCTGTCATGGTGAAGCTGGCAGTTAAAGTGCTACAGAATGCACAGCCAGCATGTGACTTCCAACATGGATGTAGAATCATGGCAGGCTCAATACATTGATGAATGCTCTCTATGCTTTTATCTTTTTTTTTTTTGAGAAGAAACTACTAGAATGTTGGGATTGTGGAAATTTATTACTAGCAAATACAGCCCTCGTAAGCTTTTGAGAGTTAAGTGCAAAGAAAATCAGCGTATCTTACAGCAGTAGCTACATTTACTACATTCAGTGGCTGGCACGTGGCTTCATGCTGTAATTAATCCCACTGATGTGCTGGCTGCTGCCAGGAGAGTTTTTCTCCCACTGTAATTTCACTTATTCTGGGAGAGCTGGGAATTACACAGCCATGGGATGGGCGTGCTGGTAGCACAGCCGTGGCCTTGCTGGGTCTGATGAAAGGATTAAAGGTATTTTGGGGTGGGGGGACCCACAGGGGGGTTTCCCTGTTGTAGTATTGCTGCAATCACATACAGTGTCATACAATCAGAGCCTGTAATATTGCAAGCTTTCATACAGCTTAGTTTTGATGACTGTGTAGAATGATAACAGGATACTTGCACACTTGTTCTAAGAAGTTCTAGCTGTTCTTTTTTTTAACAATAATGCTATTTTTGTATGCGCTGCAATTCATTTTGTTCCTTTTGTAGTCGATCACCTTTACTTGCTTTGTACAAGCTATGGAAGGTGTAGCACATTCTCTGCTTTCACTCTTCCTCTGTCTGCCTTCTGGGACAAGTTTTCAGGAAAATCTTGTTGCTTGCAAACATTTGCAAAGAATAAAATTAAATTTGTTTCAAATTGATCTTAGCGGACGCGGTTTCTGCTGACTGTTGGAAGAAAGAAAATGTCTGGTCTAACACTGCTCAGGTTTTAAACCACAGTGCTTTCAGAAAATGATGGTAAGGGAGGTTAAGAGCGATGATGGGCCACTGGCTGCCAGTGGGACCCAGCCCTGTGACCCGAGGCATCCGCTCAGGCTGGGGGTGAAGCCTGTTGATTACAATGGGGATTGCTGTAGAGCTTCTGCACAAAGGCAGGGGCAGCTGCCTGGGGACCTGTCTCCACAGGCCTCGTATTTCTTTTGCTATAGCTTCATCTGAAGGTACAGTGACTAAATGGGGCTATAGGATGGCAGTTCAGTCTGTACACAGGTAGTGGAGCATGCTGAATTGAATTCCAGACTCGTGGAGAGCTATTGTCTTATCAGGTTATGAAGAAATTATCTAAAATGTCACAGCTTTAAATCCTCATCCCATTGCACAGCTCAGCAATGAGGATTGCTGTTAGTCATGCTGCCACCATTCTGTGTTTAATAGCAACCTGTTGAAGCTGGGAGAATCTTTTAAGGGCCAAAAAGGAGTGATTTCCTTACCACAATATTCCGTGGGATTTGCTGATTTATTTTAGTTTGGAAGAATGTTCAACTAGCTGAAAAAGCCCTGACATAAGACTAGGTGAGACCTATAGATGTTATCTGCAGCTTAGTAGCATTTGTAGAGAAATGATAAAGGGGTGTGACATGGGATATGTGCTACTGCATGCTGAATCTTAGAGTGCTTTTCTGGACCTAGTAGATGTTGCTTTCAGTGCTGTGAGGCTAAATTTAAAAGCTTGAGCTGAGCACCCATCTCCATGCAGTTTGTGTTTTCCTCTATGCTCTTGTTTCTCCCTACCCAAGAGTACCTCCGTTTCAGTACGTGAGAAGGCTGATATTGCCATCAAAAAACAGTTAGAGCCCTAATTCCTCAAGAGTCTAATTCAAATTAGTAAGCCATTTGTGTCTCTGCAACATGGCAAAGTAACAGAATAAGAATCCTGCTTTTAAGTGTAGCCTATATTCCCATGTATACTTATTTATTGTGCAAGCTGTAAATACAGCACTGCACTCTCCCCAGGGTGAACTGTGAAAAGGGCTGAGTTGTAAACTTAACAGTTAATAGAGCATGCCACAATTCATAGGTGTACAGAAAACAGTTTCCAGAGATGAATGTATACTGGAGATGAGAACCCACTGCATTTGTGCCTGGAAACCCAGTGCAGCCCTTGGCCCAGTCCACTGTGGTGAGCAGAGAAACAGAAAGAAAGTGTACTTACCACAGGCTGCTAAGAGATCACTGTGGAGTTATTCAGGGCTCCAAGTGGAGCCATTGCTCCTCAGTGTGTTTATAAATGCTGTGGAGGCAAAGCTGAGAAGCATGCTAACAGTTTGCAGCTGAGTCAGGAGAAATGAGGAACAGCTGTTGTCTCTCCCCAGGTCACCAGGCCAGTGGTTAAGCAGTTTGGGTAAGAACCAACCTCCCTTCCTTCCTCCCTCCTGTCCCATTTCTCTTGAATCCCATGTTACAGAACACGCTTTACACACATTCCCACCTGCAATATGATAGCACGAAATGTTTTCTCCTTTATTGTTACCTTTTACACTTTCTTCATACAACTTAACAACTCTTCTTTATCCATGCAGTACCCACTCTTCTTCCATTCCTCCCGTAACTGCTGCAGTGCTGAGCCAATTTCTTTCCCACAAGTTATGCCCATTTTCCGCAAATCATGGCCACTGACAGGAAAAGTAGGAACAGTCCACTGCTGCATTTCTTTTAAAAGCTGCTCTTCTCCCTGGTACTTCAGGAGTTCTGATATTTTGGAAATCGTATTTGCTTCTCTAGACTGAAAAAAAAAGAGGATGTATTAGGAACTAGATAACAATTCAAACCCTGAACATCTGCACCTCTCTCTCATTAGTTTTAAAACTCAGCCTGGGACTGGAGAGTCCAGCAAATGCTTGAAAACGTCATGAACTTCGTTTAGTAGCTTTTTAACCATTATCTTTAACCTACTGCTGGAGAGGGACTCACACCTTCCCTGGTGTGGAGGAATTCCTCTCTGCTGACACTGACCTCTTTCACCTCAGTTACTGCAATAAAAGTGCAGAACTTCACTTTCAGATTACTTGAAATTCACTCTGGAAGATGTTGTGTGTTTAACAGTACTTGGTGAAGAACACAAAGCACTGTTCCAGGCACTATGCAGACTCTGAATGCTCAGAATGAACATGAAATGAACATGAAATCCTTTGAGGTCCAGATCCTGTCTCATGCTTTAATACAGGAGGAGAACTCAGGGAGACAGTACAGCAAACCCTCAGTCCCCAGCTGTGTTCAGAGGCCACACTTTCAGCTGACCCTGTCCATCCTGACTGGTTTTTAAGTCTAGTAAAAATGTTGCTAGAGAACGCAAGCTGCTTGGATCAGCTAAGAAACTGTTTATCTCCTTGCAAAACTAAGCTCTGCTAAAGAACAGACATCTCTTTCTGTTGCTGCAGAAACATGACAGGACATTGCAAAAACACTTGTCTATTTCTGCTCTCCTCTCTAGATTCAAAGCAAAAGGAAAAAGCCCCCAAAACTTTAATTTATTGGATCTATTATTGTTAATACTGGATGATATTCCCGCAG